GTCAATAACAGAAAGTAACACGTAACGCGTGGTATGGAAAGTGCTGCTGCTATTGAGAAAGCTTGTATTGTGTATTGCAAGCTTACTCTTGTTGTCGTGTTGTTTCAGCTGTTTTTGCCAACTGGCGTACGCGCCGCGTGGCGCGTGCGCGCGCCGCGCGTCGGCATCCCCGTCGCCTGCCTTCTGTTTGTTGTTTTTGTGAGTTCAACTTACTTCTTCCTTGATTATTAATCCAGCTATGTGCCTTTCCTTTCTTCTACGCTGCCTTGCTACGCGCCGTGCGGCGCGCGCGCCGCGTGACGCGCGCCGCTTGGCGCTATCTGCCTGCCAAAAGCTTCATTTGACTTCTATTCGTTGTGCTAGTTCTACTTATTTCTTATGTCTTCGGCAGTGTGCCTTGTGTCCTTCCTCTTCGCGCCGCGTGGCGCGCGCGCCGCGTGGCGCGCGCGCCGCGTGGCGCTGTCTGCCGGCCAAAAGCTCCCTTATGATTTGACTTCTATTCGTTGTGCTAGTCTAGTTGTTTCTTATTGTGGCACTGCGCCTTCTCCTTTCTCTGCGCGCCGCGTCGCGCGCGCGCCGCGTGGCGCTGTCTGCCGGCCAAAAGCTCCCTTATGATTTGACTTCTATTCGTTGTGCTAGTCTAGTTGTTTCTTATTGTGGCACTGCGCCTTCTCCTTTCTCTGCGCGCCGCGTGGCGCGCGCGCCGCGTGGCGCTGTCTGCCGGCCAAAAGCTCCCTTATGATTTGACTTCTATTCGTTGTGCTAGTCTAGTTGTTTCTTATTGTGGTACTGTGCCTTGTCCTTTCTCTGCGCGCCGCGTGGCGCGCGCGCCGCGTGGCGCGGCTCATCGGTGCAGTGCAGTGTGCTTTGTTTGCTGAATCTCGAAACTTAATGATATGACACTATTTAAATTAAATATAGTATATTTTACTTATTTGTTATGATCTTACAAAACTCATGCTGCATTTGAATTTGTTCTGCATTCTTACAATGTCTTCTGCCAGTGGCACCCGTTTGAATCCTTTCTCTTGTTTTTGCTTTTCCATTAATTCATACTTAATTAATCAAGTTCTCTTACTCATGAAGCTATGCCTGTCTATTTACCATGCTGTATCGCTGCGCGATTAACTTCAAACGAAACAAACTTTCAACCGTACTGTCAGTAATTCCTCTTTGTTCTTAATTTTAAAAGTAGTTTTAGTACGGCAGTACCTCAAGAGCAAGTTGCAAAGTACGGTAGTACGTCAAGAGCAAGAGCAAGTTGCAAGTATTAGTCGCTCTTCTTTACTTCCTGTCAGGTCCTCGGCAGTCGACCGAAAGGACAGACAGAGCATGGTCGCGCCCTCGGTCAGGTTTCAAGCAGTTGATCCGTTCAGAGTCGCTGACATGTGTTGTGTGTCAAAGAAGCAATTAATTCATCTGAAAAAACACCTTGCCGCTTGGACCACGCAGCCAGACTCAGCTTCAGAATCTGCCCCCCATCTCGCTCGACTCCCATTGCAAGACTTGCCTTCTTGCAAAACAGCCTTGCAAGACTTGCCTTCTTGCAAGAGCATACCAAGACTTGCATTCTTGCAAGAGCGAGCAGTGCAAGATCATGGCCAACGTCGATGCCAACGACCTCATTCCTGGCCAGCTGGCACACCGCTTGCGAGCTTTGACGCAATATCCGAGACCGGCTCAGGAAAAGGAGCAAGAGCTCATGATCAAGAGATGGTGGAACAACGGCAAGAAGTTAGAGTTTATCCGGGCGTGCGAGCAAGAGGCCCTCTGCGGCCAGTATACCTGCACGTGTGAGCTGGGGTACATTAACGCCCTCCATGGCGGTATGCTAGAGTTCCTGATTAGGCAAGATCTTGAGGAAATTTTCGGGATGGCTGTGCAAGATTGCCGGACTATTCGCAAGAACTACTACCTGTTGCTCCGCATCGCTGTCCAGTGGCACACTCCGCCAGGATCAGAGCTCATGTGAGCCAGACTCCAAGCACCGCAAGAATGGCGTTTTTTTGGCAAGACATCTTTGCAGGGGGGTTTGCAAGATCCTTCCAACGACGGCCAGCTTCAGTGGTGCAGAGGTGCAAGACACTTCAGGAGTCCAATACTTACCTTGAGCGCACATTAAAGCCTGGTACAGCAAGAAGCCCGCTCCACCGGACCGGTTAATGTGTCTCTGTCGCGTGCGTCGCAAGACAGCCAGATTTCGCAATGTCGCAGACAGCCAGAGACGACATGGCACAAGCGAGAAAAAGGATGATGCATGCTCTGACTGCCTCGCTGCAAGAATCTGTCCTTTCGATGTTGAGTGCCGGAGTATTGTTCTTCTATGAATATCGGACAGTATTGGCCTGGCTATTCTCATTTCCTGTGGCTGGTGGCTGCTGATGGAACCTGAGGGCGGCTCCCGTAGTTCGAACGCGCTAGACAGAAGGTGTACGCATTGTAATTACTGCAACAGGCCTAGGCGTGCGGTCAAGGCGAGTAGGTGAGGTTGTTACGATGCTGGGCCTCGCAACCGTGTAAGCTTGACTGGGCACGGCGCAGCCAGTGTGGCAGCCCTATGTGCCCCAGGCTTACGGCACAAGCTCCAGAGTCAGACTTGCTCCGGTAATCAAGGCATTCTTTCCAGCATTTTTGCAATTTGATAGGTTCGCCTGGGCTGACATTCTCTAGTCGGCCATCGTCGCCCTCCGGAGCTCTTGAAGGTATAGTCTTGAGTGATGAGGTTTATTGCACGCTTAGTTCGAGCTTGAATGTAGATCAAGTGTTATCTGGTGAACCTGGGGAGGGGCAGATGTTCGTTGAAACGCTTGGCATCAGCAACCTTGCAGAACAGTACCCTCAGTGCGCAAGGCGAAGTTGTCATGCAGACAGAGCTCTTTGGGTCGTTTTTAGCCGGCGCAACGTCGGGCCCTTTGCACTTTGAGGCTCGCGCAGCTGAGGTAGCAATCATGGTTCCAAGCAGTTATGCTACGTGTAGGTACAGGAGGATACTACGTTGTCGTGTTGCTTTACTGCTACTGGGTGGAATTGTTCGTCGCCATCTCTCCGAGGTGATTGGTTTGTAGGGGTTTATTTGGGACCTCACCAGCGTGTTTAGATAGCGAGAGGACGCAGGTTTGTAGTTGCTTGTTGAGCAGCAGGCTTGCACACCATGCATGAAGAAGTCCTCATGTAGCTGGCCACCTCTTCCGAAGTGCGATAGCGGTAGACAGTGCTTCCACCTGAATATGTGTCATCAGAGACAGCAACATGTTCTTTGCCAGTTTCATCGTTTCGAGCGCGCCAGTGGTGAAGGATGTGAAGTACATGACCTGTCCCTTCCTCCCACGTCCTGTGTGATAGCCAAGAATACAATGATGCAAGTAAGATTGCAGCAGCATTGGTGACAGTCTGACTGTTCTGTGGCCACTCTGGCACAGTTGCGACACCAGGTACCGTTGCTACATGTAGATCCGCCGTGCAAGCTGCAGATGAGACCAGGCTTTCAGAGGAACTCAGAGGGCACTCGCAGTTCGCAACATGGCAGAGGTTTCGCTTTCCGAGTCTGCACTTCGCCCATGAGAACTTCGACAATAGACGGCTGCAGAACGGTTTGTATCTAGCCTTCCGACTGAGGGAAACGAGCATTTGCTAACCATCCGCGAACAACTTTGTTGAGCCCGCATGCTGCAGCAGTACAGAGCGCCTTGTTACTATTCCATAGGATAGTCGTGTTTTCATGATCGCGATTGCACAGTTTGCAGGTTTTGCCCGAGCGGAGTGGTTGCTTGCTTTCGTTAATTCTGACGCAGCACAGTGTGTCTGCTCATCACCTGGTCGCGTGATTGCCAAATGGCCCTCACAAGGAACCATCAGGAATGACAGGGGCTCAGTTAGTTTTGCACTCCAGTATCTGGAACATCGCCCCGGATTAACAGGGTTTAATTGTCCCATGCAGTCGACATCTGTCAGTCTTGCGGACCCTGGTTCCTTGCAACATCTGCTGCATTGAGTGTGCGCGCGAGGAGTCGTATCAATAGGGGAGACTGGATGTCGCAGTCCCCCCTATGCCGCTTGTCAGCAGAGGAAAAGCGCTACACAAGACGCATGACATGAGGACCTCGCCACGTACAGCATCTTACGGTCAGTTCGACAGAAGAGATACAACCTCGAAATTAGATTGCCAGATGCTCAGCAACAACCAGTCAGTCGAACATCCACGATTTATCTTGTGTGTGCATTGCGGAAAGACGATCAAGTCGTCAGCGGGAGACGACGGCACGGCTGGACTGGACACGGGTAGGACTGACCCCAAATCATGGTGATGCGACTGCAAATGGACTCTCGCCGTGGATACAGTGACTATGAAGATGCTTGTGTTGCGAGATTGGGGCACGGTTCTCCGCTTGCTCCGACACTACCACAGGTAGAAGCGCTGGTGCTCCCTGTTTTGTATCCAACTGGGTCGTAGCAATGGGGCTCCCCTTTACAATCACTTCCCCCCTCCCCCGGGTCGTAGCATTGGTGCTCCCCTTCCCCACTCCCGGGTCGCAGCAATGGTGCTCCCCGCTCAACGACTGCCAGATCATCCATGAGAAGTTGGACTCTCGCAACAAGTCCACACGCAGGTTGCAGCGATGGGGCTCCCTGATTCGAGACATATTATGTATTCAAAGGGTACAGCCGAAGCAACCTCTGAACTTTGGGGAGGCCTCCTATCCTGATCCGGCACACCGCCGGTATCCACCGTTGCTGCCCTCGTGGTTGTGCTTCAGGTTGCTATGGAGGGGGCAGAGGGTCCTTCTGACTCTTTTGTTCTCATGTAGACTGGTTGCAGTTTTTTTTTTTTCCGCGTGGTGAACGCTTCACATTCTTGTCACTACTGCGTCGCCTGTAGTTACTGTAGGTTACTCACCCGGCCCATTGCTGAGACCGCCTGAATCGCTTTGAGTGGGGCAGACATTTTACACAGCAAGGCTCTCTTTTACAGGACTCCCGCCGCTGACCTCCTCGCACTTGCCATGGACCCTGCTCTACGTGGAGACGCCATCCGAGCTCTTCGGCTAGGACTCACCTTCGCTGAACAGAGTCTGCAATACTTGGTGCCGGCACCGTCTGCGCAGTCTCGGCCCCCAATCCCGCGCCGTCCCCATAACGGCATGTTGGATTCTCGAGTGACCCGCTCCCGCTCCCCACAAGCCAATCGAGCAGAAGTGGTACTCAACCGTGGGCGGATGCGGCAGCGGCCAACCCACCGCCGTCGCTCCCCCTCCCCGCTTCGTCGCGCCTCCCCCAAGCGGCGTGGTGCAAGAGGACGCCCGCAACCCCCAACCAGGCACCCAGCTCGCATCGTATCCCATAGTGCTCGCCCTCCCACGGCACACAGCCACGGGGGACCAGGTACCCTTGCAGGGTCACAGGCTCGTGTGCCTAGCCATCCGAGGCGCTCGCAGACCGAGCAAACCAGGTCAGGCAACCCGACCAGTGGTCCTAACCCACCAATTGGGCTTTGCATCCGTGGCGCCCGAGGAGCCACATCTGCCACAGGTGGGCAAGCAGTCCACGCAGCAATGGCCCTTCTCTCCCCGACTTTTGCCTGCCTCCAGCCGGTATTTCATGTCACGCAAGTAGGGGAAGGTTCATCTTCGTATGTACTTGTGGGACACCACGCTTTCCAGGACATCGCGACGTTGGTTAGCATTCTACGGGAGCTCCAGGCTGGTAACGGCGGACGGATGGCCACCGCTATCGGGGACATCCATGTGGAGGCCGCGGACACGGATATCGGACATGAGGCAGCCAGACGGCTGGCTGTGGTGAGTGAGTCTGGCGACACTCCCGAGGACCCTAACATGGTTGAGCCGCATGCATGTCTAAGGCCTGCAGCGGATGGCAACACGGAGCCTGCCCAGCGCACATCCGACCCAACCACCAGCAACATGGCTGAACAACATGCCGATATGCCTGATTCGAGCGACACAGTGAGAGCCCCGGTCGCGGCTGAAGCTCCCATAGTTCCGGCTGCCGCGTTCAACGCTGAGTCGGGGAGTGGCCCCACCCCCCCGCCCGAGGCGGTGCCTCCGCCTTCCCACTCACCTGAACATGTTGGTTTTCCGCCGTCTTCGTTGCCCTTGAGTCGTGAGGAGCCCGTCCCTCATCCCGTCCTGCCCTCATCAGGTCATGCCCCGCACCCTGCCCCGGCTGACGCTGTTGATGGCGCCCCGCCCCGTCACTCCCTGCCCTCTTCTGCCAGCCCCGCCTCTCCCGGATCGGCGGGTATCGCTCCTATGACCCCTCCAGTGGACTGCGAGCTTACACCCCAACTCAGGGGTGTGGAGTATGTGCTGGGCCCCAACTGCCTACTGCCAGTCACCAGTTGCACTAGCTGTTTGCAGCCTTTCGAGGCGGGCGAGACGCTCGTCCGGTTGGTTTGCATGCACTACTTTCACAAGGAGTGTGTTACGAGATGGTTCTCCTCTCCCATCCATGGCCACCGCTGCCCGAGCTGCAACGTCAATCTGATCGGTTTGGACGGCTGATTGGCGCTCCCCTTCCTCTTCAAGTGGATTGGATGGACACCCACGCATACCGTCACTCAAAGTGTTGGGACTGCTGGCAATTTTGATTTTGGTTTATGTCTGAGCAACCTGCGTGACCTGAGGGTCGGAAAAGTTGCTGTGTCCTTGAGTGATAGAGACTGGTGACTCAGCAGATGCTCCTCACATGGTATTTTTCAGTGCACCTTCCAGCATCTTGCGCCCTTGCACTCTGCAGCTCACTCATCTCTAGCCGCGACACTGTGTTCGCACTGTAGCTCCGAGCCGGATTTACTTATGTTCGGGAAAATGTCGGAAATGCCGTCAACTCAGAAGCACTCGGAGGTTTATCTTGTCTCGTGAGGACAGCATCTGCTTCCCCCCCGCCCCGGCCCGCTTCTCCCTCGGTACTTGCACGGATGTAGGCCTTCTTTCCCGCGGCGCTTGTTCGGAATCCTATAGTGCTCGTACTTCTACATGCTGCGCTGTATTCTAGGGTAGCTTTTGCAGCGGATGGAGCCACCTCTCCTCGACAACGGCGATGACAGCGGGTCCGACGATGAGGACCCCATCCTCCCGGCTGACCGGGCGGCGGTGCCCGTCGGACGGAGGCGTAACCTACGATTTATCGGAAAGTGCCTAGGCCACGATGTTAGCTGGCGTGGCACTCAGGTAATCCGGGTTGTCTCGCTCCAAGCGGGCGGCGTGGGTGGAACAGATCGCGAGGCCTGGGGCAAATGGTGGGCAGATTGCGCCGCGGAACTGGGAGCGGACATTTTTGTGTTGGCCGAAACACGAATCGGTACCGCAAGAGGGCACGTGCAGGCTGTGTCCGGTATGGAAAAGGGGGGATACCTTGGGATTAGTCACAATGTGGACCCTACAACTCCTACCTCACTGCAGGCCCCCTCGCCAATGTCGTCTGGAATCATCATTGCAGTTCGTAAGGACTACATAGGAAACTGGCAACAAGTCACCAGGGACTCAAATGGACGCGCACTTGCCGGCACACTCCTCAAGGACGATGGAGCGGCCATCCGCGTGGTGGGGGTATATGGCCCGACAGGTGCCACCTCCGACTCCTTCGACCAGGACGCCAGAGCACTCTCGCAGGAACGGAATCTGGTCGAGTTTGTCTCCCATCAACGATCACAAGCGCTACTCACTGACGCTTCCCTGCTGGTGGTAGGCGATACTAACAGCTACACCTCCCCTGAGTTGGACTGCTGGGGGGGTCGAGCTGCTGTTAGACCCACATGTCTAGCGGTACAGTTACAGGAGCTGGGTTTACATGACTGCTTCCGAGAACTTCACCCACGAATGAAGGCTTTTACCTTTTACACCCAACAGGACACCGCAAGCCGCCTCGACCAAGTTTGGTTTATGGGCGGTATTGGGGGAGCCAGTAGAGTGCTCAATGCGGCAGTGGTATGGCAGTGGCACAGGCGCACTGATCATGACCCAGTGGTGGTTGACCTCAGTCATTCCCTCCCAACAACATCTGTGCCGATGGCCGCCACAGATGACGTGGACTGGCGTCGTATTGTGCAAGCCAGTCTGAGCACTCCGGAGGCCGACGAGCTCCGGGGTAAGATCCGGGATGCATTAGACCCCGCTCGCGCCTCGCTGGAGGAGACTATGACTCAAGTCCGCCTTCAAACTGATGACCTACTCCATGCACCATCGCTAGTGGACACTTTGCTTGAACCTGGAGGAGCCGAAGACCGTCGGAGACCCGACTTAAGAGAGGCCATTGAAAGGGCCACCTCTTTATTCTACTCTTCGGTAGCCGCCAGTCTCCCACGTCAGTCTGCCAATCCAGACTTCGCACTATCCAGGACCACAGCCTCATGGGAAGAATGCATCCATCAACTCCGCAGTCTTAAAACACTGTTGACACATGCTGCTGATAACGACCAGGCAGGGATGCAGATTGCTGATCAGCACGCTGTGGTACAAAGGTTATGGGAGAAAAGTGTTCAGTCTGCCAGCAAACTGTTCTCGCGCGCGGGGCGAACAGCGGATAGACCCTGTATCGTGGATTGGGATGGCTTCCGTTTGCAACCGCAGGAGTGGGCTGGGTCGCTTACTGGCGTGTCAGCACACGCCATCCAACGTTGGGAACCCACTGCGCGAGCGGCAGAACCCGACCCTACAGGAAACCTGCTTATATCACTCGAGTGGACATGTGCACCCGTTAACCGTCGAGCGAGGTTGGAGTCCGCTTCACTGGTTAACTCCTGGATTTCCACTGCCAGGAACTATCAGGCCAAATGCCAACGACACGCCGCTCGAGACATGGCCGGTTCTAGGAAAGCAGCTCTCCGCAGACTGGATTTCAAGTCTTGGGCTCGAATGCTTCGCCCCCCTCAAGGTTTGACCCACAAATACTCCCCCGAGTGGGTAGTGGATGAAGGGGGACACCGCCGTCCCCCCGCCAGTGCACAGGATGCGCTGGAGGGGGCTGCGCAGGAGTGGGAACGGCTGTTTCATGCTCCGCCCATCCCCTGGCAACACCCCGCCTTCCTTTCATGGACTGACAAACTTGGCAATAAACGCGGAGGCTTGAATTTCGAGCACCTCGCAAACATGCCGCATGCGGGCGACGAAGAGACCATGCCTCAGGCAATCCTGGAACCCGGGCCGTGGCGTATCATACGATGGCATCTGCATGAAGTGCAGTACCTGTCCGCCAACAGCGTTTCAATTCCAGGATGGGTTTTGTCGTGGGGTGGAGCGCCCATTGGATGGCAGGTACGTCGCCCAGGTCCGTGTTCGGGGCCCGCGCTGCAACTCCTTAGATTTGGACGAGTGCCAGCAAGCGAATGGACTATGGATCGGTTCCGTTACACAGCTGACATCAATGTCATACCCTATGGGATTGCTTTGCAGCCACACTCCTTCGCGGATCGCTCCGCCCTACTCCGCCTGGAACCGGAACAGCGCGAGCACTGGATTCGGAGAATGAGATGGTCACGCCCTGGCCGGACGGGCTTTAAGGTGGCCTTCCTGCCCCTCCTCCCTACCTGGTGTCAGGAGCTGTTCTGGGAATTGACAGACACGCAACGTGAGATGGCACTTATTGCACCAAGCAACAAAAAGGCTATCCAGATTAACCTCCCAAAAAGCTCGGGTGGATTTCGGCCGCTCAGCATGATGGAAGAGGCCTTCAAACTCATCGAAGGTCCCGTCACGCAGCGAATGGCCACTTCCAGAAGCCTTTTGGAGCTTGGAGCGGTTTACAGCAAAACTAACCTTGCCTATGAGAAGAAACACGCCGCCACCACGGAAGTGCTATACACTGATTGCATCTTGTGCGAGATCGCGGTCCGAACGGGTGCACCGTTCGCCCGAGTCCCATCTGACTACGAGAAGTACTTCAACTCCATCTTGTACGAGGAAGTAGACGCCATACAACTGGCCCGAGGCATTCCAGACATGGTGCGCCGCTTGTACACCGACGCCTTCCAAGGGATCACCGTAGCCATAGACACTCGCTGGGGACTCACGCGCGACGTGGACTATCAACGGGGGGTACCGCAGGGAACAATATCCTCGCCGGAGCTGTCCAAACCTGCCCAAGAGCCTATTCTGCGCATGCGGGAGCTGAGCCCGGCCAGATTTGTCACGGACCACGGAATTGGCGTGGCTGTCACTGCATATGCGGACGATGCCGAACATTATGCAGGAGGGATCCGACAACTGCCGCAACTGCTGCAAGAACTGGGTAAGGGTAGCGTGCTTGCTGCTGTAGGTTACGCTTGGCCAAAATTTTCGGCTTATGCGTCCGATTGGAACTCGGTGCTTGGTACAGAATGGGCAGCAAACCACGGTATCACGCAGGATGGCATTCGTGCCACAGGCTACGACATTTGGACGGGCGGCACGGTCACCACCGTTCTCCCTCGCTCCCACGCCGACTCTATGGAAAAGCTTTTAGGCAAGCGAGGTACCATCATCAACAAACACGACACTGCGGCACAGGACCTTCTCGACAAACTCAGTCAGCTGCGGCAAAGGATGGCCTTCCGGAACTGCGACTGGGACGAGATTGCTGCGGCCTTCCAGCTCATTGGCCGGGGCTATATCTCCTATGCACCCTTGGTAGGCATCCCTTCTCCGACAAGCTTACACTTACAAGATGCTGATTTGCAGCTCCTCATCCTTAAGCGCCTTCAGGTCCGATGTTCGGTGGAAAGAGTCAGCCTCCTGGCACCCCGGGAAATAGGAGGTGTACAGTTGCCATCCATGGTCGAGGCCATGGTGGCAGCAGTCGGTTCAGATTTGCTTCTGCTTCTAAATGGCAAGACGACTTCCTCGGGTCTCGCCAGAGCCGAACTGCGTATGGCCATGCAACTGGATCCCGACGCAGCTTCCGCACATCAGGGTATCGTTTGTAGAGCAATGGTTTTTCTCGCAGGTTATGGCATCTATCTGTCGGTGTCCACTGAACGCCTCCTCTCCCGCCTCTTAGATCACCTCAAAACACGCCTAGGCTCACCACATGCCCAGTTTGTTGGTCCAGCAGATGAGTGGGCCCACCAACAAGGGGCTCAATATTGCCGCGTTGGCCGATTCGCCAACTCACTTCGTCGGGCTCTGGATTCTCTCCGACATGCCGTGGACACACGAGACTGGGGATTCGAACATGTTTGGCAGCAACATCTGGAGCACTCTTCTGGACTTTCGCCCTCGGATTGCGCGGCGGCCATGCGTGCCGCCACCACTGCCTCCAGCTCGGACTGGAAGGTAGAGTGTGGCCTATTCCACAGACCATTTCCAAATGCGGAATCAAGCGAGGACTGGGCCACGGATGCATGGGATAACCCTTGGGCTAACAAGGTGGACTCGCGTAGTGATTACTTGGACTCACGGGTGGAAGTTCCCTTCCATGGGCTGGATTTCGGTATGTACAGTGATGGTGGGATGCTCCACGCAGGCAATTGTACATTCAGCAGTCAAGCTCGTTCCTTTGGTGGTGTGGGGGACTACTGGGAATCCAG